TGTCATGCCTCGTAGCTTGAGAAACACAGCCCTGTGCTATTCACCGCGTTCCTTTCAACAGTGCTCTTCAAACAGTTTTGCTCACAAACCACTGAGAGCGCTTTGAAGAACTGTCAGAATCCCCTCACACATCTTTTACTGACATCCACAAATTGTCATATAAGTTTAAAATAGTAGTTACAGATATAATTTCTAGCGTGTCATAAAATGGAATGTTTCAAAATAAAATAGTTACATCTCTTCCCTCATTGTAGCCAAAGAAATCAAAATGCCATCACAGTTTGGTGTCACCTTTATCCACGTGTTGGATGTGGCGTGGTGCCATCCGCACACCTCCTCCCCAGCCTGCGCCTTCGGAGCCAGGGCTGTCGCGGCCTCACATCTGAGTCTTTTCACGGGAAGTGCCTTTGACTGAACAGAGCCCCCTGGTTAAAGCTTATGATCCCTTCTGGGGAGGCAGCCAGCAGCAGTGACTGGTCTGCAGAAGGGCATAGGGACCTTGCCCCTTAGCTCTTCAGTCGTCCGAGCTCTGGGGCTCCCATGGGATGGCTGCAGCTTCTGGGGTAAATGCATCGGAGCCCACCTTTCTCTCCACCATTTCTGATCCTCTCCCGCAGTAGAATGACCAAGAGAACGACCCAATAAACCATCTGTATACAAACCTCCCTTCTAGAGTGTATTCCGGGAACTTGACTTACGATATTCATTTTCAAAAGCACATGGCTAAGCTCTTCTTTCGCGTGAGAAAATCTCGCGTTATTTTGTCTTAACAAAAATTTACATTTTCATTCCACTTTGCAGCAGATTTTTATCCTATTGTAATATACTTTAATGCTTGAAAATCTTTTCTGGATCACCCTTTGTCGTATTTTTCTGGAATTATATTAGATCAATTAAAATTTAAAATTTCTTATGAACATCGGGCTCTATATGTTAAGTTCTTCTAGGCTGAGCTATTATTTTACTAATTAGGAATATACATTTTGACCAAAGCAAATTACACATGCATCATAAATTTTGATAAACATTATACAGAAAAATAACAATAGAAATGCGTCTTTTCAGGTAGTAATTTCTATTTTTAATTAGTTTTTGTTATCTGTCAACAAGTAGCATTTGTTGCTAACTAAGAGTATTCTATGCCACTTTCCATTTCATCTGTATTGATGAACAAGCGCGGAAACCGCATCTGCGCCTGCCACCTACAGGAGTGGGTGGGAATGGCAGTGGGGCACCATCGTGCGCCACCGTGCGCTTTGAACTCCTTTCAGGGATTTACCAAAAATCCCAGGCTGAGAAAATGCCAAAAGTGATGTGAATGGCTTATCAGCTGACAATACAATTAGGTCCTCATTTAGTTTTCTTGAAAACAAAGAATTGAAAACCACTTGATTTGCAGAGGATTTGTTAACCAGTCATGAAGTTAGTTCCTTTTCTCAACAGTACACCCTATTCCAAATTGTCCCTTTGTTATTTGTGACACCCTGGAGATGACACAGGAACATTAATGCATGAATGAAGAGTCCATATCTATTGTGAAGAGGGAGTGGGGACTAGCAAAAAGGAAGACCTTGAGTACAGGCCAGTTCTCAAGTCCACTTGAGGTCAAAAGTGCATGCGGAGCTTCAACAAATGCAAAGCAGCCTTGCCAGTGAATTCCCTGAAAACCTTCACCTCCTGCAAGGGGCACAGCCTCAGCAGCCTGAAGGTCTCTGCAGCACATTCATACCAGGATCCTGTGCAACTGCAAGATAGCTCCTATTATTTTGTTTTTTTTAAATCCTCACCCAAGGATATGTTTATTGATTTTGGAGAGAAAGGAAAGAGGGGAGAGAGACAGAAACATGGATTGGTTGTGTCTCAAATGCACCCCTTCTGGAAGGACAGAGCCCACAAGGTAGGTATGTCCTCTGACCAGGGGTCAAATCACAACCCTTTCTGGTGTAGGAGACGACACCGTAACCAGTGGAGCCACCCAGCCGGGGCTCCTATACTGTCTCTAACATAACCTTTCATTATAAGTAGATATTTACTAAAGACCAAGATACACTTCACACAGGAGGCAGAGAGCTGGTTCTCAAATAGACTTTGGTACTAGCTTCTCTGTCCCACAAATTTTCTGTGTACCTTATTTTTCCTAATTAAAAAATGGGGGTATTGCATTATTCCAAAACATTGTAAGGATTGCAAAGATTATTAAACAATCTGAGACTCTGGAAGGAATTTCAAAAAGAATTTGCATTCATAAACATCTGGCATTTTATCTTACAGAGTTTATATTATTTATTATTTTGAAGAGCACAGTTCTGTCACAGGGTTTGATACAAGGCAAAAAAAAAAAAAACCCACAAAAAACCTTACAAAAAAAGAAGGGTGAGTTTGAGAGTGACTTTTAAACAATTCTAGCTGCATTTATTTCCTGTTTTCTTGTACCTCTTGCCCCTGGGCATGGTGACAGGGAACTTGTTTTAAATGACACAGTCAGGTGTTAGAGAAGACTGGAAGGACATATTACCCAAGGGCACATGTAGCCTCTCCTGGCTGTCCTTGAAGCTGTGGGAATATTTCATTTACCAGATAAATTTTCTCAAAGCTTTCTTTTCTTTTCTCAATCATTTTCTAAGGCCAATAACTGGGGCAAAATTATTAATCTTAGAAGTGCTAAGAAACTCAACTCTACTTTAAATTTATAACACAAGAGGGCATAAAGCCATAGAAAAGGCTTAACTCAAAATATTTAAGTAGCCTAATTCTACCTACCTTTACTTTGGTTGTCTATTGTTTTCTTGAATTTTTAAAATAATTTACCATATTCTTTGATTGAAAGTGGTAGGAAATATAACTCTCTTCTTGCAAATACAGGATATATTGATTAGATTTCATCTTTCCCCTTCCATACCACCTGTGTCATGAAAAAAAAAAAACTTTCCTGTCACCAAGGCTTGCAGCAAGAGATTTAAGAGAACAGAAAGTAAATACTGCTAGAATCCTTTAAAGGCATTCTCAAGCTCACTTTTCTTTTTTTCTTTGTTAAGTTTTTCCTTCCTTGTATGAGTAAACGGAAATATGTAGTTTCACATGTAGCATCTTAGCATATTGTATACACGTCTTCTTAGAAGGAAGCATATTTGACAAAATGGAGTTTAGAGTAAGAAGACCTGAGACTGACAGTGATTTCAAACAAGCCACTTAAGTTTATTGAGCTTCCATTTACTTATTTACGATATGGTAATGATAATTTTCCTTTGAATGATCCCATGCATGTGAAAGACATGTATGAATACAGATAGTCAATATAAACAGATACAGTCCAATGAAAGTAATTTTCTCTGCTCTGTGGAGTTTAAATTTTGTAAGGAAAGAACAAAGGTTTTTTTAAAATCTAGGCACTTATAGAGAACCATTCCCATGTCTTATCTGTAAACATATGGTTTATTTATGATTTTGGTAATGAAACTAGGAAAAAATCAGCTCAGCAGAACATACCAATAATTTTATCAACATAATATTTGCCGAGAAAGGATTCATTTAGTCCAACTATCACAACACCATTTCACAGTTAAACCCACATGCAGATTGTTGAATCATGGTGCAGAATGTTTCGATGGAATGTGTTAAATATAAAAATAATCCAATGCAGTTTCCATCTAACACATTGTACAAAACTCCTTCTCCAAGGGAATTAACAAGTTTACAATTTTTCCCATAAAGTGCTATGTATTCAAAGTGCTCTGTAGCATTGAGGTGGAGATCAAGGAACAAATACTGTAGAGTTTCACAGCAATGCAGCTCAGTAATAAATGAAACTGACTATAATGTAGGTGAAATTCACTCAGAAAACAAAGGGGATCTGTGATGTGCCCCGAGTGCCATATCCTCACTCGGGGGCGGGACCGAAGGACTTCACATACACATCATTACAGTCATGATAAAAATGAGTTGAAAGCTGAATTCATCACTTTCATAGTGAGTACCCCTTCCTAGAGAAAGAAAGAAAACTAGAAAAGCAACGGAAAAAAAAGACAAAGAGAGAAAGTTTGCAATGCTTCTACAATCCATTTTTTGATGGAGACTAATCCTCAGTACAATCAACAGTCCAAAAGGGCAGTTCCCAGACTTTAGGCTGCATGAGAATTATGTGGAGGGTTTGTTAAAACCCCCAACTGCTAGACCCCACCCACATGGTCTCCGATTTAATAGGTGTGATATGAGGGCAGGAAGTAGCATTCCAAGTGAGACTCATACCCCAATCACATTTTGAGAGTCACTGTAAGGAGCCAGCGTGGATTATATGATGATTTAGGGCAATAGGTCTTAATTTTGGCTATATAGTAGAATCAACTAGGTTAAAAAACAAAAAAACAAAACCAAAAACTGATGCCTACACCCATCTAAGACTAATTAAATCTGAGTCTTTAAAATGGAACCGGGGGTTGAATCACTCATGCATCCATGAAAATGTCTCATAAAAGTCTAATGTGTGGTCCAGCTGAAAAATTACTGCTTTAGGAAATTTTCTTTCACCTCCTCACATGGAGAAGAGATAGCCAAACATATGTGTCCTTTGGAGCGCTGGTATATGAACAAAGATGTCTTTGAAGAAATCAAAATTCCCGGTAGGCCCCCTGATGCACAACGGTTTCTAGCAACATCAGGGAGTAATTCAGACAGTGATTGTGACTGTTGATTCATAACGCCCTCCGAGGTCAGTTCACAGGTTTGAAATAACAGAACTTGGGAAGGTGAGTAGCATGCTAACTTAATCCAAGTTTCTTTTCCATTGAACTGCATCAGCAAAACAGTCTAGAGTCTAGAATGTTGGGCGCATGTGCTCATGTGCAATGTTTACCTGCTATAGTTATTGTTATTCATTTCACCAGCTAAATTATTTCCTACTATGATTAACATTTGAGTGGCCCCACAAATGAGGCCCCCAGGGACAAAATTCCACGAACATTCCCCAGGCTACTTCAGAAAGCAGAACTACAGAAACACAGACAAGAAACAACGGGTGCTTTGAAATAAGATTTCCACTCTAAACTGCGTGTCAGGCATAAATAGAAGGAAGGACTATTTATAAGTGATTGTGCATGCCATGGAATCATGTTATAGGTCTGAAGCGATCTCTAGCATTGAGTATATGTTGAAGGACCTTCAGACCACATTTTCACAGACCAAGTCATTAAAGCCCCAAATATAGATTTTAAATAAGACTCTCATGTATGAAACTGGGACTGATATTTGATTATAAATAGAAAGGAATTTAAACAAACCCCACGGGGCAGGACTGGGCCTTTCAGTGATCTTTGGTGAAACTCAAGCATCTGAACGCTGACGATTTGATTCGAAAGCAGACGCGCGGCCTCCACTGGCTGTGAGCCAGCCGCAGGGTCCGTCCTCCCTTAGGAATCTCGGAGCCCACGTTTTCAAGGTGCCCGCGGTGCTTCCGACCAGCACTGACCGATTAGGAACCAGTTCAGACAAGCAGAGTGGTTCTTTTTTAAAGATGAAACTTAAAGTCCCAGCAAGATGTTTGGGTGAATCTTTGTCCACTCTTTAAGTCTTCCAGAAGACATCTGTAAAATATCCTGAAAAGTAATAAAAAAAGATAGTAGAACTCCGAATATAATCACTCAGGATGGTAGAAATGGGGCGCTAAGCATATGAGGGCATCAAGGAAACAAGTAAGCAAGACATGCTTGAAATAATTTGGTCTTTTGTTACAGTCTTTAATATTTTACAGATATACATATATTTTATACTTTTTATATATGTTTAATGTTTAATATTTTATATATTTGTGGCTATGTATGTTATGCATACAAATGTATGTTAAACTTCACAAGACTGCAGAAATTAAGGCATAGAGCCCATTTAAAGGCAGATAATCACAGCCATTGCTTTAGTCACTAAAAGCGAAATGAATTCTGAAACAGAGGTGTTCCTTTCCTCCTGTGCTGTATCTCTATGGCCTCTTCTCCTCTGTGTATCTCCTTTGGGGCCTTGTAAAGGAAATAAGGATCTCACTGACTCAGAGAGCTATGCTTGCACACTCAGAGGATGTGATTTAGGAGTTGCAAAAGCAATACAGGTGGTTCCCCTGGGGTGCTCTGGCCCCACTGCCACCTCACCCAACCTGTCCTGACAGGCTGGGGGCGAAGCAGCACAGACTGAAGCCTGTGTGCTATGTGCATACAAGGACTGATACAGGGGAAGGGACCCCCGGTGGGGTATTCGTTTAATCCTGCAAATGATCAGGCCTAAACTCACCATCTGCTGTGAAGTCTCTTAGGCCTTTTTGTTCAGGGAAACATCTATGTTCTCACTTTCTCTTTGCACTGTATGCTCTTCTTGCTTCTCTTGGGTTCCAGGGCAGTCAGCTTTTATAGGGAGTACTTCCATGTCCTGTAGATTCTCTCTCCCCTGCTCTGACTCTCTCTCTTGGGATAATCCTAGTCTGGAACCTTCAGCCTCCCCTGACTCCTGCACCCCACCACAGCCCCCCATCCTTGCCTCCACTCCTTCTTCCCCTTCCTTCTGATCTCGCCCCAGCTGTGGGGCCTTCCCTTCCAGGACTGAAGCTTCTCCCAGAGCCTCCACCTCAGCCTCTGAGGCTTCAGTCACTGTCCCCTCCCCCACTGCTGGCACCCTCTCCCTGCTCAGTGCTATTTCCTCTGCCACCACCTTCTCTGCAGCTGCTGTTTTCCCTAGTAACTCATCCACTTTGTGCCAAGTTTCCTCGCCAGTAACATCTGAAAAGGAGGAGGCTGTATTTGCTTCTGTTTTTCCCTTCGCTGTGTTCAAATCTGCCAACATTTCTGTCTTTTCCTCGGCTGTTTCTGCTGCTCCTCCTCCTTGGAGGTCTTTGTCAGCCACAACCATTCCTCCTTGCAAGCTCCCATCCCCCTCCGTGTGCCTGGCTTTCATCACTGCTGTCTGCAAAGTGTACTCTTTATCCACCTCCTCCTCTGGGTCCTCATCCATCACTTCTTCACACAACTTTTCTGCCATCATGGGATCTCCCTCAGAAATACATTCTTGGGTCATTGCCATGACCCCCACTTCTTGTCCCTCTTGTAAAGACCCTTCTTTTTCCCTCTTTTCCAGTCCTGCAAGGCCATCTTGGTCTGTGGCTGCACACTCCTGGGCCTCACCTGTGGCTGTGACTGTCACCTCAGCTGCCTGCGCCTGTCCTCTGGGGTCACTTTCAGGAGCTCCTAACACACCCTCACCCTCAGGGCCAGGTCCCTCTTCCTGCTCAGACACATTCGCTCTGCAGAGCAGCTCTGCTTTGCCCTTACACTGTGTGTCTCCAGATTCTCTCAGTCTTCCCCCTCCATCTTCCCTCACAGCTATTATGTTTTCCAGTGACTTTTCAAATCCAGGTGCTATTTCAGACATGGTCACCTCCCTTTCTCTCAGTGAATCTTCTTGACATATTGTGTCTTCAATCAATTCAGAGGCTTCCCTGGGTGTTTCATTCTCAACATCACACTCCATTTCATTTTGGGGGCCTTGTGTTTCTTTCCTGGTTCTTAATTCCTCCACAGTTTCCCCCTCTTGACCTTTAAACTTTTGCTCGTCTTCTAAAATGTCTTCATCCTGAAGAGCATTTGCCCTTGTCACCTCTTCTCCATCAGATTCAGTTTCCCCCAGAGGTGTTTTTGGCCTCTCAGCTTTCAGCTTCTTTCTTTCTGCATCTAATTCCTCGGGTAATGTTTCTTTCCTATCATCATCCTCCTTATTCGATTCTACCTCAGACTCAACTTCCTTCCTTTTCTCATCTTTCTTACCAAGTTCTTCTAGGATTTCCTCTAAAACCTTCATCCCGGTTGTCTCAGGTTTGTCGGAAGTTGAGGAGCTGAAAGGTGTTTCAGTTCTCATAACTGCCTCCCTCATTTTGGCTGGCTCCTCTCCCCCAAGTGTTGCCTCTTCTAAACCATCCTCTCTCTCGGACACAGTGTCCTGCTCAGGTCCCACGTCCCCTTGGTCTATGGATGCTTCTTCTTCACTCTCCTCCACCTTTGGCTTTTCAGACTCTGCCTCAGTCACAGCTGCCCCTCTCTCAGCCTCTCTCAGGGTACACTCCTGAATACACTCAGACTTTGAAGCTGCAGCCTGGCTTGCAAACTCTGCCTTCCCTGAACTCTGCTCCTCTTTAGAAGCTGCCTTCTCTGTCTCCAGCACTGTCTGCATCAAGGTCTGCTTTTCAGGAGACTCTTCTCCATTCAGACCTTCAGAGGCTCTTGCTGCTTTTTGTCCTGTTGGGTGTAACTCCTCTTTATTCAGCTTTTTACCCTCTTCTGTCTCTGCCCTGCTTGCTACGCCCTGAGGGATCTCTTTTTCCTCTACGACCAGTTCTGCTAAAGCTGGCTGCTCTGCTGTTGGCTTCCACCCCCCCAAGGGAAACCCATCCGCTCCTGCTTTTCTCCACAGTGTTGTGCCCCCTTTTTCTTCTACTGTGTCAGCATCCCTGTGTTGAGGGACCTCATCTTCTTCCACTGCTTCTTCCTTCTTTGGCTTGGATTCCTTGTCTGAGTTGCGGACTGTGCTTTCTTCCACTACTGAATTCCTATTTGGTGCTATAAAATAAAGTTAGAGAACAAGATGACTTTAACCCAAGTACACAAGGAGGAGATATTATATGTAATTTTATATAATATGAGATATTTAGTATGTACTATCAAGGGGTCAATTATATATTTTTAAGACTTTATTTCTTTATTTTTTAGAGAGAGGAGAAAAGAAGGAGAGAGAGAAGGAAAGAAATATCAAATGTGTGGTTGCCTCTCATGCGCACCTTACTGGGGACCTGGCCCACAACCCAGGCATGTGCCTTGACTTGGAATTGAACTGGCAACCTTTTGGTTTGTAGGTCCATGCTCAATCCACTGAGCTACACCAACCAGGGCGGGGCCAATGATATTATATATAAAACATTTTCTCCATTCTATGATGCCATTGACTGTAACTTGCTTCAAAATGGCTTTTCATGATGAAAAGAGATGCTATCGAATTTACTGGACACATTAATAATAAAGGAAAATTGAACATTAAAAATGTTGAAAATAAATAAAAACTTCATGTCTCTCACACACACACTCCTCCTACTTTCATGTGACATATTAGAACCTGCCAAAAATTATGCAATAAGAATAATAATGAATATTCATCTTCTTAGAAGTCATTGTGCCTTATAGCACCACTAATATGCTTGTCCTCTGATCAGATTTTTTTATACTCACATGGGAATTTAGCAACACAATCGTACCACAGTGTGAGCTCATCATTATCGCATTCATTGCTCCTACATTTTAAACTACTGTATCTAGACATGGTAATCAAATAATTTTGTAGCTTAAGGTAAGACTTTTTACTAAAGACATCAATTTGTATTATGGGTCAGGATGCCTCCCATCTTTGTTCAGAAACTGATTTGCCTTTGGCAAAACAGGATCACAGAGCAAGACAAGACTTTGTAGTCTGGGACAATTTTCAACATAAATAACCTTCTTGAAGTATTTCATCAGTTCTCATCCATAATTCCTTGGCAAATCTGGGTCTACTAGCTACCATACTTCAATAACACAAGTTCAATTGTTTTTCTTAAAAGGCTTCAAACTGATTTCTCGTTAATAACAAACACATGTATTTCTGTTGAAATTATCTACACAAAACAAATAAAGGCGTGTCATTCCACACACACAAAGCATTCAAATATTCACATGGCAAAATAATACTTGGGAAGACAAGAGCTTTTCAGATGGTCATCTTCATTTCTATTAATTTAAATTGTTGCATTTATGGAAGACACTGGATTAGATGTTATAAAATAAGTTATCATACCAGCATGTCAACCTCCAAATTATGTAAATCTATAAAATAAGCAAATGTGTCTTCCTCATTTCTTCTACTAGTTTGCCGTTTCACCTACTACCTCATTACTAAGAATTTATCAGAAACCTAAAGCCCTGATCCTATTCACGTCACTTCTGTAGGACGCTCCCCCACCCAGGGCTGTCTTGTCACTTCATTTCCTCTCCTAACACAAGGCATGGACATCCTATCTGGCATTCCTTTTGTCTGTTGCCAGCAATTGTAACTGATTTTACATTTTCCTTAAAAAAATGTATTTGGAAGGCAACTTTTGACATCACCTTTCAAAAGAATAACAGGAATTTCAGGCTAATCAGTAGGGTTGGTGTTGATTGTTGTAGGTGGTCCTCAGAGTATCACAGTGGTTATTTACTAAATTGTACCTAGAAGGTCCCAGAGGAAAATGTTAAACCAAATGTTCACTGAGAGAACATGTAGCCGATGCATTTAAAGGGATATGGTCCATTTTATTTCATTACAGATTATTACCTGATTTAAAATGAAATTAAAATGGTGAGAAACATGTGTTGAGTCTCTTTAATGGTATATCTGTTATTCAAATTCCTACATGACATATATTAAAAAATCAGTTATGAAAGACATTTAAATGAAGTCCTTTGTTTTTCTAAACTGGTCCCTAAAATTATAGATTATTTAAAGAACTTTCAGGAAAACAGGGGAATAAAATTGCCTCCTCGCCATGTACTAATATACTGTCTAAATTCTAAGAGAGAAAGTATGAGTGGTATCCAGCTGAACTATTGTGTGGACACACGGTGCTGGGGGGTCAGGCATGACATTCCTGAAGCAGAGGAGGGGGTGAATGAAGCCCTTCTAAGAAATATCAGTACAGAGATATGACATGTTTTTTTAAGGTAACCTTACGGGTTTCTGGGAAAAAAATACAGGAGAGCAAGCAATGTTCACAAACAGGTATTTGACTCAGTGGAATGAGTGAATGCTTGGGAGTCAGACAGACCTGGGCAAGGATGCCAGCCAGCTCTGCTACTCAGGAAACAATGCTTCTCTGAGCCTTCACTCTCTAATCCACAAAATAGGAGTAGCATTGCTTGACTCACAGAACTCCTGTGATAGTAAATCATAAAGTGATTGGCACAGTGCCTGGTGCACAGAAAACCCTAGCTAATCTTTCTTCCATATTTTCTTCCCACTGCTTACAGTACGTTGTATGTTCTTGCTGTAGCCAGATTTGATCTAACAACTAGAGTGCCCACACTGCAGAACCTTTGGAGGACTCCTTGGGTTTAATGCCCACTATAACAGATGTGAACTCTTCAAGTTCAGGGTCCTTGTTCTAAAGGTCAGCCCACTGCATGTTCAAATGTCACCTGGCCCTCTCCACATTGCCTGGTGGGAACCAAAGTTCAGAGAACTGTGTAAGTGCAAATATCCTGGTTAATGCCATTTTTTTTGTGAGTAACGATGGCTTTTTTCCTCTGAGTGAAGAGTCTTGTGTCTTCTGCTAGCATCCATGGAATTACAGCTTGCTAATTTGTTCACTTGAAAATAGAGTAAAATCTCAAATACCTCATAGTGCTTAATGACCGTCATTAAAAATTAGAGGTAGAAGTAATAAGACCATAAGATGAGTAAAACGAATAACGCCCCCAACCCCTCATGCACGTACATATGTATCAGGACTTTTTTTTAAAAAGTCATCCACTTAATATGGGGGATCCTGATTTCAAGGACACAGGACACTTGACCAGATATATATGGAATTGTGCCTGTCACGTCACTCTAATTGGCATTCTTGCAGCTGGAATACTCATCATCAAGAACCAGGTCAGATGCTGATGACAATAAATTATTCTCTAATTTTAAAAATGGCTCAGATAAGTCCTTCTGAAATGTGCCTTGGCTCTCCATGTCTCCAACCTTCCTACGTGGTCAACTAACTGAAACGCAGGCAGTAAAACAAGACTGATCTGAAAATCTCTATCAATAAATTCCATAATCCAAAGTTGCTTTTTTTTTTCATTCAAGGCACCCAGCATAAAAATATAAAATTTATATATGTTATCAGCTTTAAATCTCTCCTGAAGCCATAGAAACCACCTCCTTCTATCACATTGATTAGCTGAAAAGAAGAGAGCTGGAGGAGAAAACAAGAATAGCAAGACAGAAATGGGGTTGTCTTTGGCAGAGGATTTCTGAAGGTTTTTCCTGAGTAATGATGTACCCTTACCTGCTCCTGTGTCAGTCTCCAGCTCGGTCAAGGGCTTCTCCCCCTCATCTGCGCTGCTAAGACCAGACTCAGCATCACAGGGGCTGTGGCAGCCAGGTTCCACAGCTTCAGCTAATATCTGGCCAACTGATTGGAGATCATATAAAATATCAAGAGGCATAAAAACAAGTCATGGGAATATTGCTGAGCTATTACACATCATTTCAGCAAATGGGGTTAATTTAAAAGCATTCACATTAAAATGTTACCTTGTTTTTTAAAGTCTATTAAGATTAAACAGCTTTCAAGCTATGATTTTTAAAAAAAGAAAAGACAATAGAAGATCATGAAGTAAAGAAATTCATGCAAAGAAATACTTGCATTTTTTTAAAAAATGACAACAGCCACAAGCAGTGACAGATTTGCTAAATGCACATGCAATGAAGTGATTGAAAAAAAAAGTTTGGTTGCCTTTTTCTTTCTAGAAGTGTGTGTTATGGCTTTTGTAACACCAATTACCTCCACTATTTTAAATTGCTAAAACTACCAGAGCTGACTATGCTACGAGCATTTCATCCATTAGTAGATTTTAGTGATCTGACCTCAATACTCACACCAAGTGCACAGAGCAAAAAGCTATGGCAGGATTCCTGTAAGTCTGACAGGAAAACCCGTTTGTAGAAATTCCTGTTATCTGCAGCTGATTACTAGCACAGAACTTCAAAAATGCAAAGCCCCATACTCCTTGCTCACTGCGAGCAAGTTTGGGGGCAAAGCCTAAGCCTCAATTTACTCATCTGTCAAAAAGAGGCATATATCTACCCAGTGATTATTGGGTAGATGAAATATAGAGGTGGGCAAAAGTACTATTATAGTTGTGAGTACACGAAACACAGTTTATTCTTGTATTATTATTTATCATTGTGTTATTTTCCACACAAACAATTGTAAGCCTACTTTTGCCCACCCCTGTGAAGTAGTACATGTGCCTAAGCACTTAATAAACAATAGCCATGATGATGACAATGATGAGCATGACTATTACACATCGCATCACCCAATGTGGCCTGACTCTAGGCAACATGGTAATATCAATTGCTTGTCTTGAGTTTCTTTTTTTAAAATATATTTTATTAATTATGCCATTACAGTTGTTCTATTTCTTCCCTTCATTCCCCTTCACCCTGCACACCCCTCCCCCACCATTCCCCCCTTTAGTTTATGACCACATGTGTCTCAAGTTCTTTAGATTCTATATTTCCCATACTATTCTTACCTTCCCCCTATCTATTTTCTACCTACCATCTATGCTACTTACTTTCTGTACCTTCTCCCCCCTTCTCCTCCTCCCACTCTCCTGTTGCTGACCCTCCATGTGATCTTCATTTCTATGGTTCTGCTCCTGATCTAGCTGTCCTCTTAGTTTGCTTTTGTTTTAGGTGTGGTTGTTAATAACTGTGAGTTTGCTGTCCTTTCACTGTTCATCTTTTTTATCTTCTTTTTCTTAGATAAGTCCCTTTAACATTTCATATAATAAGGGCTTGGTGATGATGAACTCCTTGAATTTGATCTTATCTGAGAAGCACTTAATCTGCCCTTCCATTCTAAATAAAAGCTTTGCTGGATAGAACAATCTTGGTTGTAGGTCTCTGGATTTCATGACTTGGGATACTTCTTTCCAGCCCCTTCTTGAGTTTCTGACATGTCCCTGTCTATGTCCCTTGCTTATCATCCAATTCCCTGACACCCACCATTATGCCACCTTCTGGTTAACAAAGCTCACTCAAATAACACTAGGTCTGCCCTCCTAAATAGGAACACGATGTCCCCCAAATACCCTTTCCTTCCTCCCTCCTTCCCCTCCCTTTCTTATTCCTTCCCTTACTCCCTCTCTCTCCCCCAGATCTCACTCCCTCCCTTCTTTTTTGCTTTCTTGCTTTCTTTCCTCTCAGATATTCTGATGCAGTTGAAGTACTTGGAAAAAAAAACAGAACTAGAATGTGGTCTCTTGATCAGTTTAAGATGAATTTCTAGGTTAGTTGCTTACTGATTCTTCTGTGCTTGGAAACAAATAGTGAAATATCTGCCTTATGTGGCTTTGGGGGGAAAATAAAATGACAACTATATTAATCTTAAGAGAACAAAAATGGAAATGAGAAGAGGTACATCATATAGTTCACATGTATTCCCTTTAAAAGTATTTTTGAACATCAATTTTCCTCATTCAGGCCAAAGAGAAAAGTTTTAAAATAATAGTGTAGAGATGACATCAACTTAGGAAAATTAGGTTATAGTTAGGTTTGTTATCAAGTCAACCTTTATTGTAGTAACATTATAAACATAGAACGTATGAGTTAAATATTATCCTCTCCACTCTAAAATGTTACACTGCATAACTAAAGAATTTAAATGAGCAGTGTTTTAGGTCCTCTCGTATCAATCTGCTTGCCTGACAGAGCATTAAAAATCCCAATAATGGTAGGACAAGTGAATAGGGGACATCTGATTTAGCAGTGATCTCTTGATGTTTTGTTTCCTCAGAGCCAAGAAGACATCAAAGATTTTTTCCAATTACTCTATAGGCTATAAAAATATGGTTTATTACACAGACATTGAATCTTTATGTTCTATACCTAGAAATAATATAAGGTATGTCAAATTACCTCAATACAAAATTAAAGAAATAAAATTTACACTAATAATGACCAATAATTAAAATAAAGAACTAGCAGCTATTGAAATAAAAAATTATTCTAAGATGCCAAGTAGTACTAGCATAATCTGAAAATTACAACTCACTCAGAACTGAAAATGAAGCATGTAGTCCTTCTGTCTCAGGACGGTAAGCACCACCTGCCCGTGTCTGCCGGCTGGCCTTGGAGGGCTACGCTTTGGAAAAAGATGAAAGCCTGTGCAGTCAGGTGTTGCCTGCTTCCGAGTCAGCAAGAAGGAGACCCTGGCCTGAGCATCAAGGACTTATTAGGAGTGAGACCAGAAAATGCCTCACTTGCTCATGTGTTTTCAGATGTTCCTCTGAAACTGAGCCTTAAAAGCAAGAACTTGGCCAGGGCCTAACCTTAACCATTTTTCTCCTGTAGCAAAGGAGGACAGTGCCTGCTGGGACTCCCAGGCCAGCAGTGTGACACATTGCTTTGTTCCCTCTAGTTAGTCCCTCCTCCCTCAAGTTCCTCTCTTTTACCTCTCCATGAAGATGACCATGAAAAGCGAAGGTAGTGTCAGTTTTCACAGCTTTCATAGCAAAATGACAGAGGCTTACAAAGAGAGAATTTCTTAGAAAAGCCTTTTTTCCACTCAAATGATGAGCAAGCATGGACACATGGAACACACTGACAGCTGTCAGGGGCGAGGGAGTGCTGGATGAAAGAAAGTGAAGGGATTAGCCAAAGAACACATGTACAGGACTCATGGACACACGCAACAGTAAGGTGACAGCCGGAGGGAAGGTGGGGCAGGCACTGAGTGGGAATGGGGGTGAAGGGGGCTGGGGCGTCTACCATAGTGGCAACAATAGAAATAGAGAAAAGATAATAAAATACCAAAATATTCTTGTACTACAGTGTTAGCTTTTTTATTATGAAAACACATACTTTAAAACAACATAGACTGTATTTTCTCTAAATGTGAACATAGTATGTGTTATTAGCTAAATCTTGAAAATATAAAACAAAGAAGAAGAGTTTTCAAAAATCCTAATTTTACCTAATTTCTTTCTTATGCAGAAAGAACTACAAGTTAACATTTTTTGTGGATCTTTGAGTGTTTTTTTTTACTTGACTCTTACTGTAAGTAGCACTTCATCCCATTTTATTCATGCAGAAATACATTGTGACTATTTCCACATTCCATTAAATAAAAACAGATTCTTCAATAACTGCATAAAATGGCCTAGTAAGATTTTACTAAAAATTGATTAACCAATGGCCTGGTGTTGAATATTATTTTCTTTTGTGTGTGTGTAATTATAAAGCTATTTTAAACACCACTTATAATTATTTTATACTTATTTTAGACTATTCCCTTAGGATAAATTCCTGAAATTGGAATTTCTGGATCAAAGGGCATGATATTTTTAGAAGCTTTCAATATGTCTCTATGTGTCCCACAGAAAAACAATAATCAGTGAACAATTTTACCAATAATGACAAGCGGCCTAATGTCCCTGTACTACTGTTAACAATGTCACAATCTCCAGCAATTCCTTCCATATTTGACAACTTTAGAAATTGAAAAGTGATAGCAAGAATATGGTTTTCAATATTAGTAGGTTCTAAATTCATTCCCTCTCCTCTGCTTGTCTTGAAACAAAACAAACTATTCCACCTTCAAACCTGCTAAGAATCCTGAGTAATTCAATATCAGAAGAAAGTTTTGCCAAGGACATTTCATCTGAATTTTAACAATATAAAAAAAAGCCATAACAGCAGAGCAAAAATATATCCGCACTTATTCAAAGTTCCTGGTCACCTTGAAAACTACCCCTGTGCTTTGATCTTTCTTTGTGTGGCCAATCAGTTATCTTCCCAAGAACTCACCATGACAAAATTCATAACTAACATCACCCACCTACACAGTAAAGATGTTCCTGTGTTGCCTTTGGCATTGAAACATGGCCCACAACAATCGAGGATTAATTACAAACTCAAGGGCACAGCTGTTCAAAGATTAACAGTCACACAAAGCTAATGTCCATCCTCCACACAGTAGCTACAATTGTCTTTTTACAACTTTCAGGGGATATCATTTCTGTGTTCAAACTTTCCCAAAGGCTTCCTACCTCAGCGTAAAATCCTCCCCGTGGCATGTGAGTGCCTGCCTCTGTCTTCATCTCCGTCTGCTCCCTGAGTTGTCCACTCTTCTCCTATCACGTGGGCCTACTTTCTCAGCCCTACACTCAGCAACTATGCCTCCAATGTAGTGTCTCTGCCCTTGCTGTTCCCTCTGTTTCTTTCGTCTTCAGAGGGCAGAGTGGGTTACTCCCGCACTGCCTTCAGGTCTCTGCTCAAATGTCTCCTCATCAGAGAGCCCATGCCTAAAACACCACCTCTCTTTCTGACCTGCACTCTGTCCCCTTACCCTGATTTATCTCTCCTCTAGCACTAAGCCTAGATTTCAAGTGTCTTTTCACT